ATATATATAGAAATTTAAAAAGATGCCATTGAAGAAATGTTTTTCTATTATTTTCATGTCATATGCATGATGCTCTAACAGTAATTTGCTCATGTCAAGTGAAACATACAGCATTAAAGACAGAATTCTCTCTATTTATAACATTGGCAATGTAAAGGTACTTTGTTTCGGAATGGACAATTTTTAACAAGCATCTCAAAAAAGACCACAGTTAAATGGGTTTCTGTGCACTGGGGTTTTCTTATATAAAAATAAATATCACATGTCCTGGGCTTTAGAGAAATATATATTGTTACTGGCTAGGTGTCAACATGTTCTTTTTATGTAAGAGAAACCCAATGTTTCGGAATGGACAAATTTAACGGAAAAACACGGTAGGGTTATTTTGCACTCCATGTCAAGCTCCAGAATCATCGCGCAGATTTCATTATTTGATACAAACAATACCAATACATCCAAATAATGATTAGGATGGTAAATTATACTGTATGTTTTATGATATATTTTCTGAAAGTCATTTATTTTTGTTTCGGAATGGACATTTCGTTTAACGGAAATACCAGCATGCCATTAAAAGGCTTTTTTTACTAGGATACACCTCTCTCCTGTTAACATTTAAACTTTTTTGCTTCCACCATACTACTGAGTGTTTTATAATCCAAAAAAATGCAATGTCAAACACTGTTTTAATTTATTTCAGATTGCTTTTTATTTCATATGACTAAAACGGGAAAAATTTTTGGTCATTTTTCGGGCTTTGCTTTAGCATATCTTTGGACTCGGTGGTGATATTTGGTTTCTATTTTCAGTGTTTATCTTCACTTACACCATTCTCTAACATAGTGATAAAAGAATTCTTTGATCGTATGTATGTAATTTGTTAATTAGCAATATGTGGGAAAATCTGAAAAGTGCCCAGGATTGTAAAAATGCCCATCAGGTATGTGTCAGAGTCAAAAATTACCATTTGAGATAATTTCACTTATTTTACAGTAAGCCCCACGGGACAGTGCCCATTCCTGGAGGTGGACGGGAAGAAGATTGGTCAGAGTTTGGCTATTGCGCGTCTTGTGGCACGAGAACAAGGTAAGGAATGTGGCAGATAATTAAACATTGTCTGCATAGTAGTTTTTGCTTAAACAAGTAAGAGATGACCTTTTAGAAAAAATTAAGACAGCAAAGCTGTCAAATGTACAGACAAAAAAAGGGTCATTTTGACAATTTTGATGCTATGATAAATGCTTATAATAGCACAGTCAATCAAAACTGAATTTTAATCATGCACAACAGGTAACATGGTCAATAACAGGAGCAGATCCAGAGATGTTTTCTGACAGTATTCCAAATTATCTTTGTTGATCCATCCTCCATTTTTGATGGTCTTCCAACAGAAAAAAATAGATAATAGTCATTGTAAACTTAAAAATCTGACCGTCTTCCAGAAGACCCAGAAGACGGTCTCAATCCACCCAAGAATATGGGAAAGATAAAAATTTCAAAAAAAATGTACAACTGGAAAAGAAGCCAATTAGACTGCTATTCCAACTCAGGCTGCATTTTAGTCCTATGTTTCTTTCCTGTAAGTTTAAGAAGAGTAAGTGACGTTTTTTCCTTAAAGGTACATACGAACCGAGCGTGGATTCCCAGTAACACATGTAAACCACTTCTACTAGATTCTTATATGACTCAAATAAATTTGACATGCCAAGGGATAAACTGAATAGATCACTCGATCATCCATAAAAGACCTTTAGACTGCTCCTTTCTTTAAATTTATGGTTGTAAATTTAACCTACTTCCGTGACCTACTTTCCTGCCCCATTGACATACAGCTTAGAATGCCAGCAGAAAAATCTGTTCAAACATCATTTTCGGGTAAAATTAAACAATGCCTTTTGGTAATTCTCTTAGTTATACTACTTGAAACTATATGCTGGCATTTGGTTGGTTTTTGTGACAAAAAATTGACTTTGTATGCATCTTTAATGGTTATAATAAAAACAGTGTATTATGAATATTCAGAAAATGTGACAAGGAAAAGTCTTCAAGCCCATGGAAGCTCAGAGTCACACATTGAAAATCCAAAAATGTAAACAGGAGATAACTGTACTGAAAAGAATTTCCATTTTCAACACCTTTTTTACATAAAACAGAATAATCAATTTACTATCATTTTTATATGATCAAACTGAGAAAATGTCAAAAGAACACTTTCACATATCTAGTAAGTTCTATAATGAGACTTGACATGCCTAAGAATTAAATCTGGAAAAAAAAATTATATACAAAAAAAAAAAAAGTTTAACCTCATCAAAACTTATCTGATCAAGCTTAATTTCAATTTTGATCTGTATATTAGTCAGACTGATCACTCCTGTGAGTTGCATGGCAATAGGTCAATTGGTTTTCCTTCAAATGTGTTATCAGTGTTGCATATATGCAAAAAAAAAAAGAAAAAAAAAACAGCATAACTTTAAAAAAAATGCATTTTATTAACAGTCAGTAGTTCTGTAAGTTCCAAGCCAAAGGTTAAAGAGGCACACTTACCGTGTTATGGGTGTTGCATATATGCTGAAAAAAGTGGAAAAAAATGGCATACATTTTATGAAAATGTCCTGATCATGCTGATTTTCAAATATGACCTGCATTTAATGCAATTCATTAGTTCTGTAAGTTTCAAGCCAAAGGTTAAAGAGTCTTCCACTCATTGGGTTAAAGTTGATAATGTATGATGTCGATGACGGCGACGACAGACACAACGCAGGTGAAGGCTATATGTACATACACATCTGTGTCTGTACATAAAAAGTTTTTAAGTGTTGATCAAAGGCAGCAGCTGTGCTAGAAATTCCAGCCATCAGTCTCCATTCAATCTTAAGGTCATTTCAGTGTTTTTTCTACAACTTTATTCTTTGTTTCTAGGTCTTTATGGTGAAAGTAACATGGACGGTGCCATGATAGACCAGGTCCTTTACACTTTAGACGATTTGACCAAGCCACTTATCGACTGGCATTTTGAGAAAGATGAAGCAAAGAAGGTAGCATTTTTAGTGACTGGTCTATTTGCCGTAATGGTTAATAATTGTGACAAGTGGTGTATTAAATGTATCAGGACAATACCCCCCTTCCCCTGATAATCCCCCCCCCCCTGACAATTCCCCTTCCTGTAATAAATATCAAACTGAGCATGAACAGCTTGATACTGAAACAAAATAATGCCTGCCTTTAATCAAAATGTATCTCCAGGTAGAGGCAGATTAAACAAATCATCTCTCACTGATCCAGGAATTCCTTTCATGAACTGACACTACTAACTGTTTAAACCCCCCTNAGGACAATACCCCCCTTCCCCCGATAATCTCTCCCCCCTGACAATTCCCCTTCCTGTAATAAATATCAAACTGAGCATGAACAGCGTGATATTGAAACAAAATAATGCCTGCCTTAAATCAAAATGTATCTCCAGGTAGAGGCAGGTTAAACAAATCATCTCTCACTCATCTAGGAATACCTTTCATGAACTGACACTACTAATTGTTTAACCCACCCCCTCTTCCCCTTAATCAAGTGAAATTAGTATAGAAAAATTGATAAAATGTTTTATTAAAAAATGACAAGTAATGTCAAATTTGCATCTATAATAGCATCTTAAAGTTTAAAGTGACCTCTCAGGTCTGTTGAAGCGTGTAATGAGCCTACATACAGAGTCTTATAATCAATAGCCAATCATTGCTTTTATTTCATTTTCTGTCTTCTTTCTTATATTCAGTAAACTATTCAAGAAATGTGTGAATGTCTTAAGTACATAGTACAAAAACTGTGTATCTTGTTTCCTGGAAAAGGGATGGGGTTGTCTTAAGGGGCATTGTCTTGGGGGGGGGGGGGGGTAACCATGGTGCCATAGTGGAATTTTGCACAAGCGACCCAGGTTTTATAGGTCATTTTTGTTTCAAGTCAGTTGAATAATAAGCAATAGTTCTGTTGACTTCATTGGTCCTCCATTTTTTTTGCTAGGCAGAGAAAGAAAAGAAGCTAGCTGAGGAAACACTGCCTGAATCCATGCAACGCCTTGATAAACTTTTAAAAGGCAATGGCGGCAAAGGATACTTTGCAGGAAACAAGGTCAGACAAAATACTTTTTTCCTGAAAGATTATATCGTGCTGTTCATATTATTAAAATGTACAGAATTTTTTATTTTTATATTCAAAATGCAGATAGCGTTCTAATTTATTACTTTTTCAAAATTAAGTAAGACACATAAAATATTAAAATCTAAACCATTTTATAATTGTTTTTCATTTGAATACTTGACTGTATTTCTTTTCACATTCAGCTCTCCATTGCGGACCTAGCAGTCTTCAATCAATGTTCAGAGCTGGTGGTAAAGTTTCCCAAGTGCATGGACAAATGCAAAGAATTGCCAGCATTCATTGACCGCATTAAAGCTCTACCAAAGATAGCTGATTGGTTAGCAAAGAGACCGCAGACAGATTTTTGAATTCCGTTTTAATGAACTGCATTGTCACTTGTAACCTATATTTTGGCAAATTATAACCAAAACAGGGACAACTGTTGATACCGATTTTCTTTTTTACTATTTTCAAAAACTGACCCCTATGGAAAATGGGGCATGGTATGGCAATGAATCACATATCATTATCTATCTTCCAACTTAACCAGCCACAGTTATAGGATTGGGACTTTTCCTTCTTAATCTGGGGGGTGTAAAGATTTAGTCAATTTTTTTTAAATAAAAAGGGAAGTGAAATTGCTTATAATTTGAAATAAAAAATTCATTTTTGAGCCCTGCTAAAATTACAGAATCTGATATAATTGTCATCTTAAATTGTTGTCCCAAATAGTAAAGTTGCTGTTAAGGTGCAAACAGTGTGATTATAAAATGCATTAAAACTTCAACATTCCAAATTTTTTTTTATTTTGCATATGTAATCCTTGTCATGGTTGTTGCTTTAAGGGTGCTTCTGTGTCTTTTCACTCAGTTTTGGTTATAATTATAGATATTAAAATATAAAGTTCCAACAGTATACAAGTGAATTAAATTCAGCCGCTAATTTGAGCTTTAAATGTAATTCTTTTTTACTAAAAGTTACATCTAGGATGTAGTTGTTATTTCCTGACAGTGATACATATTGCTATTATCTGAATACATCTGATGTATTGTAAGTGTTTTATAAGTTTTTTTCTAACATTGCTTTGATAATTGTAACATTCTCTTAGTAACACTCTTCCAAGATTTGCAGTTCTCCACTGTCTACAAGTCTATGTCAAAATGCAGCCAGTTTTAATGAACATTTCAACAAGAAGCAGTGTTATCCAGGTGTTGTATGTAATAGTAGCAGGTGTCTCAGTGATCAGTATCAAGAAAAGTTTCCAAAGTAGCCTTTTGTAAAAACTAGGGAAAGATGTTCAATAAAATACACCAAAAGTGATGCTGCAGTGGCAGATATAGAGGGGGGTCAGGAAGTCCTGTCAACACCCCCCCCCCTTTCGGTTTCTGAAAAGTATATCACACCAATATTCCCCTCTTGATATTAGAATTTTGATTGGCTAAATCTTAAACCCCATTTCCATAGATATTTAGATCGATCTATCCCCCTGGGGAGTCTCACTAGATTACTGTCAGCTTAGCCGGCTTAAATGTCTGTCCCGCCTACTAAAAGCTGTAAAGGGGTCATTAACTTTCGTTTCGGCTGATAGCAATTTAGCGTGAACCCCCAAGGAGTTAGGTAGATCCAAATGGATCGATCTAAATCTGTGGGAATGCAGTCTTAGTTCTGAACCATACCAAAGGGCACTGTTTGCTCTACAAAACACCAAAAATAAATTTGGGGCCTTTGAGCAGGCCCTGAACCCCATTACGAGGGGGAAATGTTTGACTTCACATCCGAGGCCTATCGTTCTGGACCCACTCCCCCCCTTCAAATAATCCTGGATCCGCCCTGCGGACCACCTAACACTGGCAACATTCTGTATCAGTTAACCATGAGGAATACTGAACTGTAGTCAACAAATGAATTTCTAGCATAATAATAATAATAAATTGACATTTACTCCAGAAGCAAAATGTAAAACCATGGAAAACTGAGTGGTTAAAAAAGAGGCTAACCCATTCCTGTCTTCTCTGGTTTTTACATGCTATCTGCACAAATCTCAAAACTAGCTTTTCTAGCTACAGAAATCTGTTGACAGAAATTTCATGTCTGATCACAGGTAATTATATATAAACTGTATTGATATAAAAACTATAAAAAATGCACATAAAACCCACTGACAGTGACCTCTGTATTGTGGTCAACTGATGACCCAATCACTAACGGTCAGTTTACCTGAGTGTCCCTAGTGCTGTCTTCCTGACATGTCACAACTGATCACGAAGTGAAGGCCTTTGGGTTGCCGGACCAGGCTGGAAATAGTGCTGCGATCACTCTGTCTTTATTTTGACTCTGGTGCTGAGGGGACGCATTTGATGTGTGCCCCCCCTCCTGCTCAGGGCTGAAGTAGATGACTGTAAGAGAGCCCCCCCCTCCCCCTCCGCGTCTCGCCCCACATCCAGGCTCCTTCGCCTGTGTATCAAACTATCGTTGGCTGGTTCAACTTCTGCCGGGAGTTGAACAGTTAACGTGGTCAACAAATTTTAGGGAAATACTGATGGCATGGAGATGTATCATATTGTCTGAAAAGTGCTACACGGTGAAATTGGAAAAGTGGGCTATTTTTCACTTGTTTAAAAGTTTGTAAAAGACTCGGATTATATCAGCTCTACGCTGTCTTTATATTTCGCCATTAAACTGATACATCTCTCTCTCTCCTCGGTCTCCCCCTAAAATGTCCCCCTAATATTCCCCTAAAATGTCTCCCTCTAAAATATTTGATGAAAATAATACATATTTCAAACTAGCAAATGTAATTTCCCCAAAGAAATAAAACAATTTTCTTTTCATATTAAATCGTTGCTCGACCCGCCCTTCGGAAGAATTTTGTAACATCTAGAAGGCTGAGAAGGGCTTCTTGACGAGAGCCCCGGTGTACGCCCCCTCCCTCCCCTCGAGAGGTACTGTAAAGATCACTTTTATTAATATGTTACAGCGAATAGGAAAAGTTGATTTTAATAGATATAAATAACTCATTTTTAAATGCTTTTCTTAAATTTCATTTTGTCTGTGGTTCTGCAGATTTTGAGAGAGAGAATGAGAATTAGATAACAAGATTAAGCGAATTATAAAGACATTGAGAAATTTAAAAAAAAATCAAATTCTAGGGAGGATTGCATTTTTTTATTTTCCACACAATCCTAATGCAATAATCTACCAGTTTACTTTATTTTGTTTTGTTTTTTTCAACTGAAAACGTACTCATTTTTCCCGTTTCTAAAAAAAAAAAGTGTCAGTAAATCTTAATGTTTTTTTTTTTTACTATAGAGAAAGATTTAACAGTTACCTGTCCAGTCTCGTGAATATTAAGGGAAGCCATTGAATAAGTGGTGAAATCATGAAATATGTAGATTATATTTGGCGTTATAACGTTAAGATTTGGTGTAGGACGCAAAAAAGAAAAAAAAAACGCACCGTGTCTTACGCTTTGGTAGTTCACCTTGCATGTAATACTACATCTTAGATATTTACGAACAACTTAATTCTACATTTGTGTAGGAGGGTATTGTACTCTGATACGTAGATGAGGAACAAAAAGCACCAAGAGAAGTGCATTAAAATTTCTTTATTGGCATTTTTAGAAAAAAAATGAAATGCTAAAATTCGTTTGTTTTGGCCTTCAAATCAACATCGGCCAACGGCTTGTCACACCTAGCACATTATCATCAATTCTGTGAAGGACGTCACAATCATGTTGAGACAGAACAGACGCCAGAATATCACCCTGTATAATAATGATTATTTCTTATTTATTGATAAGATATTGATAACTCAGTGGGTTGAAGTTCTAAATAAAATATTAAGAGCACTAACGTAAAAGTGAGAGGCACGACATCCCCATTCGTATTTATTGATAAGATATTGATAACCCAGTGGGTTGAAGTTCTAGATAAATATTAAGAGCACTACAATAATAATAAGATACATTTTAATGAATCTAAGGTTTCATTCCATTTCGTTCTATGTAGATCAATCCAACTCTGCTGAATGGAATCAGTTTAACAGATTAACACACCTCCTCTTGTTTTAAACTTTCTTGTATAATCACCACCTTTTCTGTATTCTACTAAATGCCCGGCGGAGGCGTAACAATTTGAAATATCAATTCCCGAAGAAAAAAATATTTGATACGAATGGAATTTTATTTCTTTTATTACACAAAATGTGTTATTCGAGTGCTGTATGTGAAAGAATCATGTGATGTATGATATATGTTGAAATCTTGTATATGTCAATATTGACAGCATGAAATGACAGGAGGATATTGGGGAAGTAGAATAAAACTGTAATAACTTGTGCATGATAGTACAGACGGGTGTTATGATAACTGGTTGTATGATGCAAAGTGAAAAGCATCAGTTTGAATAAAATCCTTCTGCAAAATATAGGCGTATTTTCACGGCGTTTGTGCTGACGTGTTAAATTATTGCACGGATTTTCCTGGGATAAGTGGTATTTTTCTCCAATTAATGAACCCTCCTTTCCTGCCACTGGCTAAAACTTTGTAAAAATTCTGGGATAATTTAATAAACGCCTTCGTTATCATGACCAGGTTCCACGCACGCACACAGACATATATTCGCAAGTTTATCTGTCATTGTGAAGGTTAATGAAGACTACAACATCGTACATTCAAATATGATCACATGATTTAAAGTTGATAAAGTTTTAGTCTGCTGATTCCAGCAGATGGCGACATAGTACGATCAGGTTGGTCAAATATACTAAACTCTGTTCAGATAAAAATGCACTTGACTATAACCAGTGACGTAAATAATGTTTCATTGTGGGGGGTGTTAGGGTATGAGATTAATTTTATCAATGGCGTGTTTTGAAATAATATATCTAACACAAATGCGTCCTATGCATTTTTATTGCAGTATATTGTCAATGAAGGTTGACCTATCAGATATTGATGATAATTGAGTAAACAATGTGTCCAAAATATCCCGCCTCCTCCCCCATGAATTATATGTAACCAACACTCCAGAAAGAGATGTCACGTCTTCATCAGTTCTGAGTGACCAGGGAGTGGATGCGAGGCGGTCCAGATACTAAGTATACGAAAATATCAATTTCAGCCGATTTAATACAACGCTGTAAGATACCAATGTTAGTTATTTGATGACAAATTATTTGTGATTCAGTTTTGATGCCTGAATGTTTAAAACAAGTTTTGGAAATACCCCAATATTTTCCCTAATATTTTCCCCATTTTGCTTCCTCCACATTTTGGACAGCTCTTCATATCTCATATATGCACCTCATGTTAATTGAACTGCGTTAGTAGATATAGTCGGAGGAGTAAAATTAAACATTTTGCGTGTGTCATTTTTCTCAATCTTTTTGAGAAGGAGAGAGATAGTATATGTAGGAAAATAGATAGTTATAAAACTTGTTTGCAAATATCTTTAAAAGAATATATTCCTCTATCCAGTAAAGAGTGAAGTTATTTTTTTCTTCAATCAACAGCTTAATATTGAAATAGTTTACCTTTACTTCCAATATTTTGATGTTTAACAGAACATTCATCATTACTCACCTGGATAGCCTCATTCCCTGATTTCAATATTAAGTTGTTGATTGAATAAAATTACTTCATTCTTATAACATAACACAGCTGATGAAATTCTTCTCTGATTTGTCCAGTTAAAATTTATTACATATTGGTAATATTACATTGAATAATATTGTTTTTGCTTATGTCTTGTGAGCTATACTTTTTAATATGTGCTCTTTTATCCAATAAAAATTAATGACAAATTGGGAATATTACATTAAATTATATTTTTTTGCTGATGTCAATTTTTCATTTCTTGTTCTTAATTACTTTGAGTTCAGCATATAAAATTATACCACTGTCTTCAAAAACATGGGTTTTAATTTCAATTCAAAGGCATATAATGCGCGTTACACCTTTACCTAGAAAATGACATCCTGAGAAATTCAACAATTTCACTTTATCACCAAAGCACACTTTTATCCAACACCGATGACAAAAGCACGATGTATAAAAGTTTTAAAAAGTCAAGTTGTTTTATGCCGTACTCTGCTACTTCCCAGTGCGGTTTACAATAGATAATAACACGTTTGAGTTGAAAATTTCAAAAATTTGCATCCATAAGTAAAATTGGCCTTTGCCCATTTTCAATACGAGAGAGTCTTTTTTGAAGCTATAAACGAATTTATGAATCGCAATGCTATAAACTGTTTTCGATACCGTATACCTTGCACTTTGATGATTTGTTGTTAAAATTTCTAAGAAAATTAAATGAATTTAAGGATCTTATTGCTTTGAACTGTTCTGGATACCGTATACCTTGGTGACTTATTGCTAATTTATTTTTATTTTTTCAATTTAATGACTTTATGGGTCGAATTGCTGTTAACTGTTCTGATTATTGTATGTCTTGGTGATTTATTGTTGAAATTTCTAGGAAAATTAAATATAAGCTACATATGGGACCAGCACTCACTACCGGGGGGGGGGAGGGGGGTATGTGCCTTTACTTTACTTTAAACGCTCAGAGAAGAGATTAGAAAACTTAATTTCATAAGCTTGTTCTTGTTAATGAACCAATTTTCTGATGTCTAGGTTCGTAGTATGTACACTATGACTTTCGTAAAATGTAACTGAAAGATGATGTCTCTTAAAGAAATCTAGATTCTGTGTAAAGACGAAAGAATTATTGATACCATTTTTCAAAATCGGCTCAACTTTGTAAAACTTACTTTCTGTTATTAGATCGATCAGTACGTGCAAAAATGTTTTCTCTCTACATGTGCTGTGTGAAATTAATTTTTGTTCAGTTCATTGCAAAACATTTGTCACAACAGTTGTAGAATTGCTCATGATTTTAGGTATTTAGTTATTGAAATAATTCTTATTATATCGTATGGTTAGAAACAGAAAAAATCAACGTCGGATCCGGAACATTTAAATGTAGTCAAAATGTGAAATTCTAGGCAATTTGTAGCATTATGTGTACTTGATAATGTTAGTCCAGAGTGGGTTTTCTTCTCGATTTTTCTGATGTTAAAGGTGGGATGGATACCAAATCCGGCGTTTTTTAAAGGAAAAAGTTTTATTCTGAAATATTTTCTTTAATATTAATGAGGTCAAACACAGGTAGTTTAGTTGATAATTTTATTTGTAAAATCAAATAGATTGAATTTCAAAACTTAAAAAAATCACAATTGTAGTCCCACAAACTGATGTTTTAAGATTGTTAAATATACATGCATATATGGAATGGAAATTTGTTTTGGTCTTAATAAAGAAATACCAAAATTATTCAGTGCGTTGTAGTATTTTCATGTTCATTGGTACCCACGGGTTGGGGTTTACTTTACTGCTCGCGCACTTGGATAAACCGAGTAATTCCCAAAGTTTTTTTAAAAATTTCCTTTGGTTACTATAAGAAGAAAGTCTACCTGGGGAGGGTAGGTGGGAACAGTTAGAGGAGTAGGTAACACGCTTGCCTCTCAGACAGAAGGTTGCAGGTTCAATTCCTGGCGCCACTGGGTCCCAGCAAATTACCTTTTACAAAAATAAATCCAAATAAAGAATTTCGACTTCTATAAAACCGTGCTACGGTTCTGTAGTTAAGAAAAATAACTTCTATTTTGTTCATAAAACAATATTGCACATTTATTATTGCACAAATGAATACAAAAAGTAACAGCAGTGTTTTCACAAAATAGTATAAAACTTGGAATACCTTTTTTTCTTCTTAATGTCAATTTCATAAAACGTACTATGAAATGTGAATTAAGCTTTTACACACAAACAAAAATGGTTCTTTATCTAACTAAAACGTGTCAAGATTCTATGCATTTTGAAAATTTCTACTTGGCCGGCGTAGCTTTTTGATTTATAAAGGAGTTCAGGAATATTATTATAGACATAATACCAACAATATTAACAAAATAAATAAATAAAAAAAAAACCAAAACATTACCAATGTTTGTCTAAATTCACTGGTGTGATCGATATAGAAAATTCAATATGCATATAACCTCATCCTATCCCGACACATGTACCCACATGCAAGCACTATGTCGTCTTGCTGATGTTCACAAAACAATAATAGGGAGTCAAAATAATCAAATTTTGTAAGATTCCTGGTTGTTTAGTTCATCGATAAATGTTGTCATGTCCAAACCAAACGTGTTTCTTTTTCATACGAATTCCTAAAATATGCATTTCATGACACAACTTTGATGGAAAACTGAAATTTGTACAGCATGCGAATCAGAAACGTCATACATGTAAGACATAACCAATTTTCTAGCTTATTTCTACCACAAACTTTTCCATAAAATTTGCTCTAGTTGTATCACATACTATTTTGAGAGTATTAACAGAAATTGGCAGTCTTAAAAACTTCACTGAGTAATCATTATTCTGAATAATCGGCTTTGTGACAGCTCAAGTGGTCGATTCGAATTTGTCAAGAATTTGTCGAAAATTCAGAATGTGAAAGTTGCTTATGAATGCCAGTCCTACATAGACCCCTTAATGAAGATGATATTTCGAAATGAATCATTTTCTATAATTCAACAATTTTCCTTTTTAACCTACCACTACTACAATAACAAATGCATTTTAATTTCGGGAAAATTTCAACTCCTTGGTTTCGTTTCTAAAGCCAGGGTGACTTTTGACCCCCTACCATCACTGAAAATATGGACCGTCACATCTAACACAAGAAATACGAAGTTTATTTATATGCGTCACAATCGCACATTCAAACTTAAGAAAGATCGTTTCAATACGTGTGGACAGCTCTGCAATACTAACAACACATTCTGCCAGTTTGATAATGCTGCAATTTCTGAAACATTATTATCTAAATTACAGCGATTTATTTATTTTTGGTGGATGCACATCTCGTTCTTTTTTTCTTCAACTGAACACACTATAACTTCCAGAGACTTCCATAAATGCAATTTACACGGTTGGGACGTTTTCTTTCTTTCCAAAAGTTAACATCGCCAAAATAAATACTAGAATTCAATTTTAAATAAATAACTGTTCACGGAGAAGTGCCAAATTGCAGATTTCCCTCACAAATATGTTACTATCAAAAAGAAAACCGGTCATCCTACATGTGCTTGTTGTTTATGTTGCCACACCTACACGGAAATATACCACTACACTATGTACGTGTAGCAAAATACTCTTCCTGAACACTACTTTGTAATAGTTTGAAAATAACTACAGCCGATTCACAACCCAAAGTAAATATAACACTTTATATTAAGTTTAAACCCTGCAAATTTACTAGCGGACAAACTCTGATATGCGACATGTAATCTTGACATGGATGCAGCCGCTGTGGAACACGAGTCTGACGTCATTGATGGAGAGCATATCCAATCTTCTCGTGTACGGTTGAGTCACTGAAATTAAACAAAAACCACCTTTACAAATCAATGTCTAAGGGTTGATTAAATAAAGCAAGTTTTAATTTTACGGCAACCGATTTCGATTCTCATAGTAATATTCAACAAACCACTTTTCAACTTTTAAATTAGAGGAATATATATATACATATACTGAGCTGACACGTTCTATGTAATCATGCACTTTCAAACAATATAATTTCTATTCTTTTACACCGTGTACACACTGTAACGTGACAACATTCTGTGTCTTTAGAATCACACGTCAGTGGTGCTACTAAAAAGATAGTGACCCTCGCATTACGTATAAAGTGAAATTTTAGAAATAAACATATGACAGGAGGGTAGTAAAAACAACATTTATGAGATCTTAGAAAGTAGAACAACATAGTCACGACATGTGCACATTGGCGGGTAGGGATTTGCTGGGGTGGATTTTCATTAAAAAAAACAAATTAGGACTTAAGAATGAAGTTACCTGCCAAGATCTCCTTACATTGTTTAGGACGGAAGACGCGTTCACTGCTGGAGCAAATCTCTCACCACCCGTTTTCTGGCAAATGCATTCCATCTGTAAATATTAACAGAAAATAAACTATTTACAATTTGAATAAACAAGTTAAATTTGGATTTTTAAGGGGAAAAATATTGTTGACGTCAAGAAAAAATGTCGACATGATGCCTTATTTGCAAATTGCACCATTTTTTGGTTAATATCATTAACGCCAAATAACCAATGTTATATTCCATCATCTATACAGTACTTACAACAGATCGATGGCAATTTCAGTCCCAGATTTCCGACCATTTCGTGAAAATTGTGGCAATGAGACACAAGGCTTTCTTTTCCATCTTCTACTGACCTCTGTCCTTTCTGAACACCTCTCACCAAAATACTCACCTAGATTACATAATAATATGTTCTAGACCACCTTCTGTACAGGTGCCTCGATTTCAACTTTAGCCTATGTTATATGACAGAGCAACCGGTCCCGCCCCATGAGAAAAGAAAATTACCCCACCCCACCCCTAACGCACAATCACAAATGAAGATATTCAGTAATGAAATAAACGTCATGAGTTATATTCATTTACCGTAATAGAACTGAGTAGAACAGACAGAAATAAAGGAAATTTTAAGTTGAGGAAGGCATGAATTAATGTACTGCATCCTCTGTTATCGTCCAAAATAAACGAGAACTGATGATGGAATAATTTTAAATGAACACTTTTCCTTCCATAGTCTCAAGTCCACATTGGTAAATCAGTCTAATTAATGAACATGAAAAAAACTCGAATTCTTGCGCAACAAATTTACAGGTTCATTAATGTTCGGGTAAGGCGGAGTCTTCGATGATGCAGTACTAGAGTTGGTTTTCTTCGTCCTTGTGCTGTGTTGCTCTCTTAACTGGTGAGACTTAATCCTTGTAGCGTTCCTCATTGGGGTATTCTGGATCCACCGATTGGTGGATCCAAAGTACCCAGCCCCCTTCCCCGCTGCCCAACGCGATCTTCAGTAATGCTCCTTGCAGACTGGTGGGAAATGTTACAATCATTACTAATCTTTATAAAAGCAATCTATGGCTCCGGATCACTAGTTTCTATTATGACAATTTTCTTGAAATTCTTTGAATGATCGCGGTAGTCTGTGGACAATATATGCTTTCCTTTATATTGAAGAGTTTTCCAGAAAGTACAGGTACATGTAGGTCAGTTTTCATGTAAAAATTGTGAGAAGTCCAAGAAGGTTTAAATGGCATCCGTCTCAAAGTCTACTTGGTCGCTCGAAGGTGCATATTCTAATGAACAAGAATTGAACATACATGTCTTTTGTCCAAAAACATCCTTTATTATAGTGAAAGGATGAAGAACATACATAATATTGACATGCATGGACTCAAAACCAAAAAATACTCTTTTAAAAGTGTTTAAAAATCAAAACTAATATATCTTCATACCTACAACAATGCACTAACACTAAAAGAATTATCAAAATCTCAAGTACGGTATTACAGTATCGACAGGCCTTTATTCAAACAAATATTTTAAAAAATACATCAATTGAACAATTTTAAATATCAGATTTGCTCCATTCTGAGATTCTGAACACAGTGAAGGATTGAATCTGACAAACTGCACTGATATAATTTTATTTCCCTTTTGACTATTTATTTCACAATGCACGGTAATTGATTTACCATCATTTTTCTACTATCAACTAACAAAATCAAGATGCAGAAAACGTCAAAAGAACACATTTAAGTATGTTATAAGTTCAATAATGAGACTTTAAACATGTCTAAGAACTGAATCTGAGGAAAAATCACTTAAGAAAATTTTCAAATTTAACATGTACACATGAATCAGCCCGGTGTCTGTACATAAAAATCATATTTTAGTAAATGTTGCAATGGTGTGGGACAAATTTTCTTCCAGCCTTCTTACAGCTTTAATATTTATTAAATATTAATATAATTCCCATCTGGAGACATCTATATAAATGTCACATGACACATAGTTTAAATCCAGAAGGAAAAAGCATCAACACATCTTGTATACTGTAAAATATAAATTTATCTTCTACCCTTTGTCTGAACCAAGACAAAAGTTCTTGGAATGTTGAGTACACCAAGGAAACCAACACAGATGTATTTCTGGGATAATGTATTAAAACAAAACGCAAAGTGCTGTTTTGTATTTTCATCTGAAATCTTCATATCAACTCCACTGTTACATTGACTGAGTTGTGTCACAAGAACAAATATTTTGTATGGGTTTGATATATCACTTCATAATAAAGTTTTATCATAACTACCAACATCTATTCTGCTGTGGAATGATCATCAAGAATTTTATGCTCAAAAAATCTTTGGTCTCATAAATCTGTATACGTCACTAAAACATCAGTGTCGTAAACATTTTCCATTACTGAAGGACAGAGTTCTTTATGTGGTATATGGACTGTGATCTCTGATGACTGGTTGTCTGCTACCCCATTGAAGTGAGTGGAGCTGGTCACGTCCTTTTTAGGAGTTTAGCAGGTTCTAATCCAGTTATAATGTCATATGTTGAGTTGTACAAATTGGTCAGTTTATTGCAGTCTTCAACATTCTCTGATTTGTTGTACTCTGGTTCCATTGCATCCTATGAAAAAAAAAGACGAGCACTTTAGACCAATGAATAAAAAGAAAATTTCCAGTTAATGAAGCATAAATATAAAATGTTTTCATAGGCAATTTGTAAAAAAACAAACAAACAAACAAACAACCTCCCCCCAAAAAAATACAAGAAGATGAAGCTATACACATACAATATATGCAAAATACTGAAAACTTTAAAGCTCCAAATCTTCTGTCTTTTGTCTCAACTGAGTATCCAAATTCAACCCTCAAATCTTTTACTGATCACATTTCTATACAATATGTGACTATGTTTACCACATTCTGTGCCACAGAGCTGTCATATATAAAGTCTGGTGTGGTGATGGCCACAACATTTGAGTTGCATTTGTCAGTTGAATTTTACACATTCTTTTCAACTATATATGAAAATATGGAATACTTCAAAGTTCTAAATCTTCTGTCTTATGTCTCAACTGAGTAGCTAATTTCAACCTTCAAATCTTTTACTGATCACATTTCTATACAATATGTGACTATGTTTACCCCATTCTGTGCCACAGAGCTGTCATATATAAAGTCTGGCATACTGATGGCCACAACATTTCCTCCATGGAAAGTCACCATTCCTGCAGGTGACCCAGTCTGAACTCGCCCCCACCACTGGAATGCAGGGCCTTGCTCATACTGAAATCATAGCAACAACTATTTCAATATGCAGGGGAATAGTTTGATATCATTACAGATTAAGATATGGACGGTATCAGGACTATCCCCCCCTCTTGAAGAATATACATTAAATATATGCAAATATTAAGTACAGAATAAAAAGTTCAAATCTTTTCATCCATTGTATGAATATTTCTTAGTGTGATGATACAACTCAAGGATAGCAAATGTTAATTATATTAAACAAATTATATTCATGTAGAGTAGAGAAAATTTGAGAAACAGAAGCACAGAAAATTTTATAAAAAGTCTAATCAGAATATATCTCTAGGTAAAGTGGGGCAAACAAACCATCTCCCACATCCAAGTAACCCTTTGATGAATTAANTCACATTCTATTTTGGGAGTATTGACAGAAATTGACAGTCTACAAAACTTCATCGAGTACTCATTATTCTAAATAATCGGCTTTGTGACAGCTAAAATGATCGATTTGACTTTGTCAAGAATTTGTCGAAAATTCAGAATGTAAAAGTTTCTGATGGATGTCAGTCCTACATAGACCCTTTAAGGAAGATAATATTCCGAAATAAAACATTTTCTATGATTCAACAATTTTCCCTTATAACCTACCACTACTACAAATGCATATTAATTTCGCGGAGAATTTCAACTCCTTGGCTTCGTTTCCAAAACCAGGGTGACTTTTAACCCCCCCCCCCCCCCTCATTGAAATACGAAGTTTATTTTATATGCGTCACAATCGCATATTCAAACTTTAGAAAGATCGTTTCAATACGTGTGGACAGTTCTGCAATACTAATGACACATCCTGCCAGTTTGATAATGCTACAATTTCTGAAACATAATTATCTAAGTTACAGCGCTTTATTGTTTTTTGTAGATATACATTTCGTTTTTATTTCTTCAACTAAACACTGTAATTGCCAAAGACTTCCATAAATGCATTTTACGGGGTTGGGACGTCTTTTTCTTTTCCAAAAGCTAACTTCAGCAAAAGAAATATTGGGATTCAGTTTTAAATAAATGTTCTGGGGGAATTGTTTTATTGCAGATTTGTCCTCACAAATTTTTTACGATCATTAAGAAAACACGTCATCCTACTTGTAGCACAGTACTATTCCCGAACATTTTTTTGCATTTGCATTTGCGATATTCATATTAAATGAGGGCTTAAACAAAAGTCGTTTTCAGATTTGAGACCCGACGTGTACCTCCCCGTAAACCAAATGCACTAACAAATTACCATTAAAACACCATGGTCGGGTAGAGTACTGTACAACAACTTGATAACATACATATATATGTGTATATGTACAGATGCTTACCAGCGACGCACAGGTCTGATGCTTAGTAAAGAATTAGACGGCGTTCACAACCAGCTGAACCGCTCTCTATCTAGTCCGTGGATCAAATATGGCGCTTATTTGACAATGGATTCCCCACCTCCTACTTGTGTCGTCCTAACGGGTGAGCAATTAAATCCAGACTTAATTTCAAGTGGGGCTTTCAACTAGTTAGTCTGTGGATCAACTGGTCGTGGACACGGCCCTAACCTATTAAAACAGACGTTTCGTGAAAAAAGTACTCCTTACATTTGACTTATCATTTGATACACCTTCCGATAGAGAATATCACAACCCAAAGCAAAAATTACACTTAATATTAAATGTTAACCAAGCAAAATTACTAGCGGACGAACTCTGACATGCGACATGTAATCTTGACATGGATGCAGCCGCTGTGGAACACGTGTCTGACGTCATTGAAGGAGAACGTATTAAATCTCCTAGTGCGCAGCTGAGTCACTGAAATAAAAAAAAAAACACTTTTACAAAAGTATGTTTATGGGATGGTTTAATAGAGCAGTTTTGAATTTTAAAGTAACCGATTTCCATAGTAATATTCAACAAACCACTGATCAACTTTTAAATAATACGAATATATATACCGAGCTAACACGTTCTATGTAATGAAGGACCTTAAAACAATATCGATTCTATTCTCTTACACCGTGTACACAATGTAAAGCGACAACATTCTGTGTCTGTAGAATTATATTTCAGGGAGCTAGAAAAAGATACAGGCGCTCGGATAACGTATAAAATCGCAACAGTGAGATTTTAGAAATAAACAGATGACAGGAGTGTAGTAAAAACAAAATTTAGGAAATCTTAGAAAAAAAGAACGACATAGTCACGACATGTACACGGGGGCGGATAGGGATTTGCTGAGGTAGATTTTGGATATTTTAAAGAAAAATTGGACCTACAAATGTAGTTACCTGCCAAAATGTTCTCACATTGCTTAAGACGGAAGACGCGTTCACAGCTGGAGCACAACTCTCACCACCTGTTTACTGGCAAACGCATTCCATCTGAAAATAAGAACAGTAAATGAAATATTTTAACGTCAAGTTAAAACGTCAAACGGCAAGACTTTTACGGAAAAATATTGTTGACGTCAAGAAAAAAAAGGTCGACATGTTGCCTTATTAGCAAGTTGCACCATTTTGGCAAATATCATCAACGTGAAATAACCAATGTTATCTTCCATCATCTATACAGTACTTACAACAGTTCGATGCCAATTTCAGTGCCAGATTTCCGACCAACTCGTGGAAATTATAGCAATGTAACACAAGGATGCTTTCCTCTCCATCTTCTACTGACCTTGGTCCTTGCTGAACGCCTCTCACCAAAATGCTCATCTGGATTACATAATAATGTACAGTTGAGCACCTTCCGTACGGGAGCCTCGATTTTCACTTCAGTCTAATTGTTATATGATACACAGCAATCGTGCCCCCATCCATGGAAGATGATTCGGGTTTGCTGAAATCATAATCATAAAATTATGTGATTTTTTTCCACAACAATTGTGATGTGAAATTTTAAATATAATCCAGTGCCCCTATACCCCCCATGTCCTAATGTTTACACATGGGGCAGGAAAATTACTCCCACCCCAACACAGTGTGAATGAAAATTTTGACCAGCTGAATTATAGTTCTAAACCGTACCAAAATGGCACCGTTCGCCCTATAAAATACCAAAATTTCTCGGGGACCTTCAGCGGGCCCCGCACCCCACGCCAACAAGGGAGGGGGGGGGGGGAGTCGGCCTCGCATCCGAAGACCTCCCCTTCAAATAATCCTGGATCCGCCCCTCCTATTGTACAAATTTCCTTTGTTTAAATCTACGATCAAGATCTACACGTATTTTACTTTTTATTTTTTAT